GATTCGTGGCGCCTGTGGAGATGAGCATTGAATGTGAGCCAAAGATAAACTTGAAGCAGATATTGTTGCTCGTAAGTCCTAATGTTTGCATCCGAATTCAATTTCTAATGACGTTTTAAGAACAAATTGAGTTTCTTGTCCAAGTCCCCTAACCTGATGAGATAATAGAGTGATGGCCTTTGTGCCTGCATCCTCTGCATCCTTCCAAGGTTGCTTCATATAGTAGATGTATTCTAATTGCCGTCCCAATAAACTTGTTTTGAGTTAGCGACCATTTGAAGCTACCAATTATTGACCAACCGCGCATGCCTCATCGGGTGATTGTCCGAATATTTCCCACTACAAATCCACAGCAAGCCCTTGATCAGTTTTGGTACATCATCCTTCCATATATATTGCTCGAGATAGTCGATTTGACATTCCAAGATCGCACCAATAACAGCTGGAGGAAAGTGAAGTGATTCCACCAGAGATCGAAGGATAACTTCATCTCCCAAGAGAAGTTCAAAAACACCGAGGTGTGTTGTCTTTTCTATTACAACTTTGATTGGAGAGAATTTCGAATCCTGAAAGGCAAGCGAGGAAGGAACAGATAAAATATAGGATTGTAGTTCCACGCGCAAGGTTTCGAGGTAGCAGCGGAGGGTGTCTAAGAAGATTTGATATGCCCCCTTTGCATGATTTAGTTCATAGATCTGATAACATAAGCTTTGCACTGACCCGACGGTCTCCCAACTTAATGAAACAACCCGCTAGAAGTAGCATTCTTTTGGGCATTTGAGCATAGAAAACCTGCCAAGGGTCATTTCTGCTTTGGGTTAATCTCCTTTCATCGCCTAACAATCTGCGATCAATGTCGACACTACTAGAAATGAATGGAACAGAATGATCCCAACGACCAGTTTGATAGATGGAGGAGCCTATGTTCCAAAAGGCTCCCGAAAGGCACCTCCAGAGATCTATGACCCGATCACCAATCTGATGATCATTGACCACGTCATTCAAGAGCATGAGCTCATGGGCCTTGAGAAGTGATTGATATGCAGGTTCATAAGTGTCCGCAAGGGTCAGGTTTATTTGAAGTTTTGATATCAGGATTCGATTCTCTACAGTCGCGGTGATGACGTCCATACGGTAGTCATTATTTAGTTTTCCAAGCTGAAGAGGATTAATGTAGGAGTCACGAAGTTGAAATCTGTGCTTACGCGGAGTATTGCATCATATACATCAGAGATAAGGATAAGGGGCTTGTGCATCCCATTAACAAATTCGGGTTCCTTCTGGATACTTAGGCTGTTTTTCATGCGCCGTCGTAATCGCTCCATTGTTTGAAACATGTTTGTTTGTTTGATAGAGTCGTCATTCGTACGCTCTAATTGCAATTGCTCCAAGCAGTGGGTGATTTCACTATAATTTTGCCGTAATGAGGTGACTGTATTGAAATGTCAGGAACACATGAAAGTGGATTCAAAAATTATAACCTACGATCTTTTGCTTGCAAAGATATTTCCAACTCTCGGGTTTTCTGTGAGATGGACTCCAGGACATCAATTTCGGCAATTGTCTTGCTTTCTTGCGTATTAGGCGCGAGTAATGATTGGATAAATTGGACAGAATTAGATTCTTTCACCCTCAAGGCCAACTTACACCATTCTCGGCATAACAAGGAGAATGACTCCTCGTTGAAAAGAGTGGCACTATGTTGTTCCCGGGATTGTAACACCCTGATCAAAACCTTGAGACTCTCATCGAGTGGATTGAACTCTTCTTTTTTACGTAGGGTAATCGCTTTGATGTAGGAGGCGGAGATATTCAGGGCGTGTTTCCACACCCAGGAGAGCTTATCGGGAGAAGAGACATCGGCAGTGCATTGTAAGGCGTAAAACCTCAAGATCATTGCATTGATAGGTGAAAGTAACCCAAATGACGTTTCTACGGATTTCATGATTGCAGATGCCATTGGGAGTAACTTCTCCACGTCAATTACCCTCAAGTCCCTAGTCCACGAAAGAAAGGTTCCAGCCTCATTGGATTGGATGAAGTCCGATAGTAGGTCCATATCCTCCTTGAAGCGAACCAGGCCATCTAAAGGTTGTAGAAATACTTGAAAGGCGCAGGAAAGGTATGTTAAACAAGTATTTAAAGAGTCAGCGTCGAGAGATGAAACTCTGCCGTCCAGTTTTAAACAAACGGGCTCCAAACTGAATTGGTTTGATGAAAGGCGCACACAGGAAATGGGGAGATTCTCTGTAAGGCTGTGTTTTATGCCCTTTAGTAGTGTGCGAGCACCTTCGTACTGTTTGATGTGATCAGGTTAAAAAGATTTGGTTTTTGCCATACTTACACACTTCAGTGAAATCAAACGACTTGCGAGGCTGAGCGCCGCCCTCTCCGTTGAGAGCGAGTAAGATTGTCGTAGAATACCCAACGACATCATAGATACATCGATGGAAGTGCGTAATTTTCCTTGGTCAAGAGGGTTAGAATCCCCATCTGCAGTCAGACCAGCCTTGAGTGCTGCCGCTATAGCGCCTGCAACAGCGTTAAATGCTTTCATCGCAAATTTATTGGCCTGTTCGGAGGTTGCACTCTTCAAAAGGGATTCAAGGTCGCCCAAAACATTATCCGTAGTCGTCTCCAGGCGAGTGAGCGTTTCAAAAAGTTGAGACGAAGGCACCGGGGTCGAAGATTTTGTCCTTATCCGCTCATCGTGTCGAGGTTTGGTGCTAGTGGGCCCTTTCTTGGGGGCCGGAAGACGTGTTTGACGCGGTCGAGAGGACATCCAAGCCCTTGCAGATATTCAAACTCCGCGGGTAGTTCCATACTGTATTGAAACAAGTAAAACCAAAAAGAAATGATATTCGATATCTCTCTA